TTTTTTTTTAAGATTTTATTTATTTATTAGAGAGCATGAGTGGGGCGGGGGTGGGGGGAGAGCAAAGCAGACTCTCCACCAAGCACGAAACCTGACACAGGGCTCAATCCCAGGACCTCAAGATCTTGACCTGAGCTGAAGTCAGACACTTAACCGACTGAGCCACCCAGGTGTCCCCATTCAGATAGTATTTGAAAACTTGTTCTTTTTTAGACATGTATTGTAATCATCACTTTTTTATAAAGTCAGATTAGAATTTATTAGCTACCTACCCAAGCATGTTTTGGGTTGTAAAACTTTCCTGAACAATTGCCTTAAGAAAACTGCTTTAGAATAAAATGGCACTGTAGGTATGCTACATTTTGGAACTAGTCATAAGTTCCGAACTCTGCAGTGCTGGAGTGGTCCTTAAGAAAGGAATGATTGTTGGCTTCAGAAGATCCCTAGGAGACTGAAGGACAAAGAAACAGGTGGTATTCTCAGTGTGCTCCTTCATCGCTCCTTGGGATGTAGCAAAATACTGGAATTAGACTTCATTGTCTAGTTTAATCATTTCCATACTATTCTTAAACATGTCTCAAGTTGCAGGTAGAGAGGCTGAGGCCAAATGGTTTAAATGAGTCTAAGTTTTAAGCACTAACTCGAAGTTGTATGAGATTTTTCTTAAATGCATCTCTAGGTAATTTGCCTCTGACCATAATTTTACAGACCAATGCAGGCAGTGAGCCAGACTTGGAAGATGAACAGGTTTGCTGTGAAGCACTGGAAGTGATGACGTTATGTTTTGCCTTGATTCCGACAGCCTTGGATGCTCTTAGTAAAGAAAAGGCTTGGCAGACATTCATTATTGACTTACTGTTGCACTGTCACAGCAAGTAAGTATCTTTTTTAATTGTTAGAAACTTGATCTTTTGTTACGCAGAAATGAATTTATGCTGGCAGAATTTATCCCAGAAATAAAGTGTTTGTTGTCTCTATAGCATGATAATGTTTAGGAAAATTTCCTTTAACCACGTTTTGCCTAGGGCTAAGTTTGGTTTTAGTCTCTGCAAAATGGCAACATTAAATCTCAAAGTAAAATTAATTTTTTTTTCTAATTTCAGAACTTAGTTTCACCTAAGAGATCTGTATTTTAGCACATGTTTAAAATCTGGTTTACAGGTTTCAATTAAACAGGACATTCGCCTCCTGTCTTGGATATGTAGATGCCAGGTTTTTTTTGGTTGGTTGGTTTCAAGAGAAATTGTTAATTCAGTATGAAATTCACAAATCAGGGTTATGGTAAGAACTTTTGCATTTTATAATGAGAACAAAGAGCAACTGTATAAAGCCCTTGTTTTCAATTCAAGATCATTTGTTTCAAACTTCTTTTTGTGCAAGTCGGGTTTGTAGAAAAGTCAGTTTCCATTCTCATGTCATTCTAATACTGACCTTCATGAGGTAACTCTTTAAACTGGAGCTCTAATTAGTGTCACTGTTAAATGTAAATCTGTCTTACATATATTTTGTGAAAAGACAAAAAATGTTCACTTTGGTTATGCTCTCAAATGCCATTCAGCAATGACAGAAATCACTGATGAAATTAATGTAAAGTCAAAGTTTGCTGAAATAAAACCTAGTGATAAAGCTTTTTCAAAAAACATACATTAATGGAATAGATATAAGTTGCTTATTCCAGAGGATGCTGTGAAGTGAATTAGTGGGAACGTCTACTATTTTAGAAGTTCCTTGGTAATTTCCTTGAAATTCAAAAAATCCTTTGACAGGATTTCCCCCCGCCCAATAAGATTGTGCTTGTTACCTCCTTGAGAAGTCTTGATCATCATGAGATAACCCCGTATTTGAAGAAAAATAAACAGGTTGAGTGAGTCTGGTTCTATTTAATTAACACGTCAGGGGAAGGAGGAGAGGAAAGATGATTATCCAAAGAATTTTAGGGAAGTCAAGCCCAAAGGTAGCAAATGTTTTGTTCTGTATTGATTTTCAAATCTTCAACTAAATTAGGAACTTATTTCACTTCCTTGGCTTCTAAGTATTAAGGAACTTGGTTTTACAGGTTTTCTGCCCTCTATAGACCTTTATGAAAATTCCCCCTTATAGGAAATTAGAACCATTTCCCTCCTCCTTTTCCTGAAACTTCATACAATGAAGTAAAGTTCTGTAGACAATACTTTATCTCAGTATGCCTGTTCCCTTGTCTTCAACAACAGAAAGGGTCTTCAAAGATCAAGATCTTTTTGAGCTTTAGGTATCTGATTTTCTTCTTTGGCCCTCACCCTGCTCAGCAGGTTCAAAGGCCCTTATATCCAGTTTGTAAGAATTTGACAGCAAACCTGACTTGAACATGATTTGTTGGCATTACCTTTCCAAAATCTAAATCCCCAAACACATCCAGCCCCAAGGGTTTCAGATGCAGGATTGTGGCCCTGCATAGAGTTTATACTTGCATAATATTACTAACCAGTATACCTGTGTACAATGCATTTCCCATGTATGCTTTCTCCCTTAATTCTGTAGCAACTCAGAAGTAGACTGCTGCTGGCAGAACTAAGGCTGAAGTTATAGGAGAAGTCCTGCCTCTTGAATTCTAACTTTCACCACAAGGTTATACTCTGTATAATTATAATCCATGAGCAAATTAGTGTGAGTCCCTACTATGTGCTTAGCAGTGAAAGTCCAAAGTCAAATAAGATAGTTCTTGCACTCAAGGAACTTTGAGAGAGAAATTAGTGTCATAAGAGGCAAAGTACTCTAGGAGTTAGAAGAGGAGTAAGTTACTTTCTACCTGGAAAGAGCAGAAGTGAAGGTTGTATGCAGAATGTGACAAGTGAGCTCAGGTTTGGGTGAGACTTACATGTGCATACAAATGGAAGGTGGGCCTTGGCGGTGCTCCCCCTCCACCTCAGTCCCCATTATGCTGTTCTTACTTCTATATTGTTGGACCCCATACACTTTCCTCCTCCTCATACTGCTTCTACCCTCGTCTAAACAACCAGCATCCATTGCCTGGACAACTGCAATATCCTTAATCTTCCCACCCCAGTGCTGCACCACTAAGGTATTACTCTCATCCTGTGACCACACTGCAGACAGCATGATCTTTGCCAAGCATGATCATGTTGTTTTCCTGGTAAAAAGTCTTTCTATGCCTTCCCATTGCCTTTGAATTAAGTCTAAACATATAAATTTGGTTTCCCAGACCTCTGTTCATATTAGTTGAGGTCTGTTTCTACATCATAACGCTAAACTTACTGTAAACACTCACAATTGGATTTAAATTCCTTTAGGAGGCTGTTTTTTCCAGCCCCTTCTAGCACCTGTTGCCGTATACCCTGCCTATTCAACTCCTTTATGTTACCTCTCATTGATGAAGACATTTGAGTTTGCCACCCCTGGCGTAGTGCTTTCAGAGAAAAGCTGAGTAGTCTGTTTTGATGTGTGAAAGAGGAGTACAGGATAATACTGTAAAGGAGATTAGTGGGAGTCAGTTTACAGAAGGCCTTTGATGCTGAGACCTAAGTAGTGCTCGATTTTAATATGGTAGGCAGTCCTGTTGGTAAATAATTTAGCAAGTACCTATTATGTATCAGGCACTATCCTAACTACTAGGGATATAGCAGTAAACAACAGAATGGCAGCGTTCTTGGAGTCTACAAACTAAAGGAGGTGGGGAGTGGGAAGGGGCAGACTTGTGGGAAAATATATAGTATGTTAGTGATAAATGCTATGGAGAGAAAGCAGGGAAGGTGACAAGGAGTAGTGGGGAGTCAATAGAGTTTAGTTTTATATAGGATAGAGGAGGCTTTCTAAGAAGGTGACCTTTAAACAAAGCTCTGAAAGAGGAAGGTAGTGATCCATGCAGATAATGGGGGAAGCATGTTTTAAGCAGAAGGAACAAGAGATGTAAATGTCCCGAGGCAGGAACATGTCTGATGTGTTAAAGAACAGCAAGGAGACCAGTGTGGCTGGAGCAGTGAGTGAGGGATAGGCAGCTGAAGGAGATGAGGTCAGAAAGTTAATAGGCAGCCTGTTAGGATTTTATAGGTCATTCTAACAACATGGATTTTTTTTTTTTTTTTTTTTTACCATGAGATGGGCATCCCAGTGTAGGATTTTGAGCAGAGGAATGGTGTGCTCTGAGTTACTGACATTTTGAGTTTATTCTGGTTGCTTTGTTAAGAGTAAGTTCTAGAGTGTCAGGAAAAACAGACTTTTTATCCAAATAAAAGATGACCATGGCTGGAAATATGGTAGTATTAGAAGTGGTGAGAAATGAGATTTTGAGTATGTCATAAAGATACAGGCCACAGGATTTGTAGATAGGCACATGTTTCTTTGAAAGCATTACAGAAGTCTGCATGTATGAGGGAGATTTCATCAGGAAATGACAAATACTAACTATATAGATCCCTACTTTATTTGGGCTGCATACCTATGTTTTACAAAAATAAAATTAGGACTGTGTGAATGACATATACCTTTGAAAATCTAATAAAAATTATGGACTTTCTCCCCAGAAAACTTAGGTACTCCTGACTTCAATTTACTTGGGTTCCATCAAATTTAACCCACAAGGCTTCTAAAGTCCTGGTTTGTAAGACCATGTACAGGTTTCTAGAAACCTAGACACATCCAGGAGGGAGGTTAGTACACGAAGTGTATGCTGTCAAGTCCTTTACACTGAGCTATAAATTTGGTTCTAAGCTCTCTTGTTTGCTAGCACAAAGACAGAAACATGATAGTTTTCTGTGAAATGTAGTTTGCAATGTCCGTAAGACACACAGATGCTTAGCAGATACTTGTTAAGCATCTCCCTGTATGTCAGGCGTTCTTCCAGGTGTCAGAAACTCTGGCATCAGCAAAGCCCTGCCCTGAAAGAGCTTACTTTCTTTTTTTTTTTTTTAAGATTTTATTTATTTATTTGACAGAGAGAGACACAGCGAGAGAGGGAACACAAGCAGGGGGAGTGGGGGAGGGAGAAGCAGGCTTCCTGCCAAGCAGGGAGCCCGATGTGGGACTCCATCCCAGGACCCTGGGATCCTGACCTGAGCCAAAGGCAGACACTTAATGACTGAGCCACCCAGGCGCCCAAGAGCTTACTTTCTAATGGAGACAGACCACTATCTTACAGACAAACAGCATTTGTGCATGTGGTAACTGAACTGATTCTTAGCACCTATTATACATGGGTCACTATTCTAGGTTCTTGAGGCACAACAGTAAATAGGTGGTGTCTCGAGCCTCTTGGACATTTGCCCTAGTGAGATCTGTATAGTATATATATATATTTTTTTATGGATACATAATTATCAGGTAAAGTTCTCACTAGTGGGACCAGAGACAAGTTCTTCCCGAGGGTCATCATAGAATATTGTATAATACGGTAGTTTTCGATCTTTAGCGCACATTAAAGTCACCTGAATGATTTATTAAAACACAGGTTGCTGGGTAGCAGCCCCAGTATTTCTGATTCAGCAGGTCCAGGATGGGGCCTGATAATTTACATTTTTAACAAGTTCCCAAATGATGCTAATGCTGCTGATCTGGGGACCATGCTTTGGGAACCACTAGTATAATAAAAGGGACATTGCAGCATTATCCTTACTGTAATTGCAACAGAATTTCAACAGAGTTGTTTGCTCCAGAGCGCAATGAGTGAAAATTCTGTGGACAGCCCAAAAGATGTGTAAGGCTCACTGTAGGCCATCTTGTATCCAGTAGAGCAGTTCCAACTTGTTCCAAGAAAGGGGTGTTACAGGGTATCCCTCAAACTCTTCTATGACAATTTGGGTTAGAGTTCTTGCCGTACAGCCTACGGTTCATCTGTCCCAGGTTGCCGGCTTCAGGGGGTGTTACCTCGTATCCTTGTATTTTTACTTGTAATTCACCCTTAATCCACCGCACCCCTCCCCCCGAAAGAGAGACCAGTGTTGGAATCTTTTTTCTTTTTTTTTTTTTTTTTACTTTGTGCAAATATGTTAATTGTGAAACATGTTTATTTCAGAACTGTTCGCCAGGTGGCACAGGAGCAGTTCTTTTTAATGTGCACCAGATGTTGCATGGGACACAGGCCTCTACTTTTCTTCATTACTCTGCTCTTTACCGTGTTGGGGGTGAGACATTTTTTAATATGCTTCTCATTGTGATTAATTCTTTAAACAGGCATTCAGGAATTTATGGTTTTAGCTTATATTCAAGTTATAACAGCCTGTATTTAGTAAATATTCATAACTTCCCATATTATTTTAGTCCTTTGCTCTAGTTAACTCTAGGTTTTTAAAAAGTGGTTTCTGAGCATGGACATGTGAATTCACATTATTCTACGATTGTTTTCAGAGCACAGCCAGAGAGAGAGCTAAACATTCAGGCGACTACTTCACCCTCTTAAGACACCTTCTTAATTACGCTTACAATAGTAATATTAACATACCCAATGCTGAAGTTCTTCTCAATAATGAAATTGATTGGCTTAAAAGAATTAGGGTAAGTTACCTTTAATACTCTGTTTATTGTATCGATAGTGTTTTATTAATTGATAGTTTGTAGTTTTAAGCATTTTGGTTAAGCGAAAAACACCAAAGAGTAATAAAAAGGACCAAACAGTATACTCTGTGATGGTGGGTCTTGGTAACTCAAGATTCACAGAATGAATGCATAGCTAGTTTTGTAAAATGCTTTGTTTTAGTTGAAACTTGAAATACTGATTTCATCCTCTTTGATTTTTATATTATAATCTTGGGCCTTTTTGCAAATTTTCATCTTCTAAAATGTTTGAATTGTTCTCATCAAAAATCAGTGTGTATAGACTAGCACTTAACTCTTGATGTTAACACCGGATACTCTTAACTCAGAATTGTATGAGAATTTATTTCTGAGGAGATTCGTAGCTTTTATAGCCCTCAGAAAGTTCTGAAGAGAACTTCATCCTGTTTAGAAGGGAAAGCTTTGGCAAGAAACAGACTCTTAACTATAGAGAACAAACAGATGGTTACGGGGGTGGGGGGAGATGGGGGGGATAGGTGGTGGGGATTAAGGAGGGCACTTGTCATGATGAGCACTGCGTGATGTGTGGAAGTGTTGAATCACTATATTGTACACATGAAACTTGTGTGTTAACTACACTGAATGATTTTAAAAAATAAAATTTTAAAAAGAATGGAAAGGTTTGGGGGAATTACCTCATGTGTGCCTAGTTCTCAAATTGTGGCTCCTCCCTCCCTTCCATAAGTTAGGCATTTGTTATTTTTTCTTTGGCAGGATGATGTTAAAAGAACAGGTGAAACAGGTGTGGAAGAGACGATCTTAGAAGGCCACCTTGGGGTAACAAAAGAATTACTGGCCTTTCAAACCCCTGAGAAAAAGTATCATATTGGTTGTGAAAAAGGAGGTGCTAATCTCATTAAAGTAAGTTTTGTCCGAAACTAGATACTGTGACCTCCTAAATGTTTGTTACCAAATCTGTCTGGTTGGTTTATAATATCATGTCTTTGGTGTATTTTCTTGACCTTTTCTGCCTTCTGCTTTTTAAGAATCTTTACAGAGGTTACAGTAATTGTTTAAATATAGTTTCTAAATTTTGTATGTAAATAAAAGTACTATGTATTTAATAAAGTAAATACACTATTGATTTTTCTATTTAGAAAATCTGAATTTTTCACTTCATCGGTCCACTTAAAACACGACAGACCTGTTTGTGCGACTGCATCTTGTTTATCCTATTTCTTTAATGACTTTCTTCACATGTGTGGTAACTCAAGGAAGCAAAAAGTATCATTTTAGTACATGTTATTTTTATTCAAAATTAGTTTTGGTATACATATGATTAAAGGAGTAAACATGGGGCACCTGGGTGGCTCAGTCAGCTAAGTGTCTGCCTTAGGCTCAGGTCATGATCTCAGGGTCCTGCTCAGCGGGGAGCCTGCTTCTCCTTCCTCTGCCCCTTCTCCCCTCCTCCCCGCTTGCGCCTGCGCATGCTCTCTCTCTCTCTGCTCGCTCTCAAATAAAATCGTCTAAAAAAATAAAGGAATAAACTTACTTAAAATGTTAAGTGCTATAGTCAAACTTGCTCTTGATAATCAGAGAAATTTGGTATATTTGTTACAATAAATAGTGTTTTGAAGTGGAATCTTTTTATTAGAAAATCAAGTTTTCTCAGATGTAATGATATCTTTAATTGTGACAAGTAATTTAACATCATTTCCTTCTTTTTTTTTTTTTTAAAGATTTTTTATTTATTATTTATTTGAGACAGAGAGAATGAGAGACAGAGAGCATGAGAGGGAGGAGGGTCAGAGGGAGAAGCAGACTCCCTGCCAAGCAGGGAGCCCGATGCGGGACTCGATCCCGGGACTCCAGGACCATGACCCGAGCCGAAGGCAGTCGCTCAACCAACTGAGCCACCCAGGCGCCCCAACATCATTTCCTTCTAAGACATTTCTTTCCTTAAAAAAAGATAAATGTATACAACACACACATAGACACAACTTTGTGTGTCATACGTATAAACATTACAGAAATAAAACTATATAACATATAACATACATATGTAATTGCTAATATGTAATCCTTTTTTCATCTCTTGTAGGAATTAATTGATGATTTCATCTTCCCTGCATCCAATGTTTACCTGCAATATATGAGAAACGGAGAGCTGCCTGCTGAACAGGCAATTCCAGTCTGTAGCTCCCCAGCTACCATTAACGCTGGTTTTGAGTTACTTGTAGCATTAGCTGTTGGCTGTGTGAGGAATCTCAAACAGATAGTAGATTCTTTGACTGAAATGTATTATATTGGCACAGCAATAACTAGTAAGTATACTAAAATACAGTGTTTTGATGACAGATAATTCTCTAATTTGTTCAAATTCTATTTTCTAAAAATTTTTTTTTAGTAAACATCTTCAGCTCATGTTTTTCTTTCAGCAACTACCTTAACATTTGTAGGAAATGGATGTGTAATTTAACACCATTACAAGCAAAGAGCCTTGATGTAGAAAATTTTTCAAGTGTTTGTTAAATGTCTTCCTGTAAGGGGTTTGAGTATTTAGCAAATTAATTTCATCTCAGTCAAACCTGGAATAAAACCCAAACTATGGAATAATAAGTAGTCAAAAGAAATGCCAGAGTTCTAATTTAAAACTCGAGTTGCATGCCTTGGAAAACCTTTCAGGCTCTTATTCAGAAGCTCTTTAATACTATTTTCATATGAGCTCAAAGAAAATCTGGTTTTTAAAGATTAGAATGTGAGAAGATAACATTCTAATGCATTTTATGTCCTCAGTTAATGCTCACATGAAGCCCTTGAGGTAGACTGTAGACCAGATCATACAGATCTGGAACTGAAGCTCCAAAAGGATGGGGGCAATATTAAATGACTGGAAAAGCAGAAATAAGAAATCAAATATTTTAAGAGAAAACCAGTGTTTATCTACAAAGCTTAAGGATGTAATTGTTAATGTAAATATTTAAAAACGTGAAATTGTTTTTTAGTATGTTGTATTTCAAAATATAAGGACATTTTTAATAACATTTTAGGAGATTCTGATTAAACTGCTTTTAAAAGGTTAGACCGTTAGCTTTTTATTTACCAAATCTATATGTAGTAAGGTGGGGGTTTTGTTTCGTTTTAACTTAAAGAAGAGTGTTTTGTTTGTTCAGGGTTCTTTGTTTTTTTTAACAAATCCACACGTTTATTCATTTACTTTTTTTTTTTTTTAAGATTTTATTAATTTATTTGACAAAGAGAGAGGGAACATAAGCAAGGGGAGAGGGAGAAGCAGGCTTCCCACTGAGCAGGGAGCCCAGTGCGAGTCTCGATCCCAGGACTCTGGGATCATGACCTGAGCTGAAGGCAGATGCTTAACCAACTGAGCCTCCCAGGCACCCCTGTTCATTTACTTTTCAATAAGCTTACACCCTCAAGGGGTACGATATCACACAGATTCTGTGTCCAGTGGCCTTAGCAGGAAGCTTGCTTTGGAATTTGGCATGAACCATGCCACTGCTTCCATGGGCATGGGTAACCTTTCCCCAGATTCATCCAGTTTTGTTCAATTTGCCACCAGGAGTCACTGTGTTGTCCTTTGCTTTGTACATGGGAGCACATCTCTTGCCCAGATAGAATTGTTTCGTCTCAGGCGATCATCACCTTCAATTTTAAGATGAGTTGTGTTCTCACTCTGGTTTTGGAGGACCCCACTACTAGCCAGCAAAAAGTGGCGTTGGACCACAGCCCTCCAGATATATTTGCGGTTTCAGAAAGGCTGCTTGTTTCTTAAGTAGTACACTTGCGTGGTAAAAATTTGAACTACCAAAGAAGCTACATACTAAAAAGTACGTTTCCTGCCCATTTTAGTCCCAGCTCCCATTGGATAGCTGTAACCATTATCGTCAGTTTGTGTCTGTCCTTCGAGCATTACTGTATGGAAAATCCACATACAAAATCTTTTTTGGTTTAGTTGTTTTTGTTTTTAACCATGGATTGGCATATTGTATACACAGTGTCTTCACTTTGTTTTCCCCTTAATATATCTGCAATTGTTCTCTATCAACATATACATATTTGCCTAATTCCATTTATTGGCTTATATACTTTTCAATTTAGTATACTATATTTAGCCAGTCCTTTATACACTGTTTGCAGGTTTATACTAAGTAGAGGGAGACATACGGTGATTTACAATTCTCACAACTTTCAAATCCACTATTTCATTAGCCCCTCAAAATAACATTGCAGTTATAGGCAAAACAACTGTTACTCTTATTACATTTATTACAAAGGAAACAGAAGCTTACCTGAAGGTGAAAGAGTTGGTAAACAACAGAACCTGGATATGAACCCAGGTGGTCCTAGGATGCTTTAAAACCAAACAAGCTATATAATACTTGGTGTATTTATATTAACATTATATGTCAGAATGACATATAATGACATATAACATTATATGTCAGAATGAACCTGAAAACACTTCAAAAAAAACATACAAAAGTAGAAAAAAATTATGACTAAACAGTAAAACTAAAAGTAAAAGGAGCACATAGAGCCTGACTGGCTCAGTGGGTTAAGCGTCTGCCTTCAGCTCAGGTCATGATCCCAGAGTTCTGGGATCAAGCGCCCCGCGTCGGGCTCCCTGCTCAGTGGGGAGCCTGCTTCTCCCTCTCCCTCTGTCGTTCTCCCCCCCCGCCCCGCTTGTGCTCACTCTCTAATAAAATCTTTAAAAATTAAAAAAGTGAGCACATAGAAATTAGCATTATACCATCTCAGGAGATTGCTTCTGACATTTCTGTAGAAGTAACACCAGGTAAGACATGGGTTTTCAAATGGTGGGGTAAGAATCCCTATAGTGGTGCAAGTTGCTGCATCCCTTCAGTTCGTTGAGGGGGCAACACTCAGTGTACTGCTTCAGCTGGCTGGAAAATTAGTGGAATTGTTGGTAATGTTAATTTATCAGCTTAATAGAGCTAAGAGTGGACAAAATGGTTGTGTTTGTGCTACAAGAATCTTTTCCCTTCTCTCAGCTTGTGAAGCACTTACAGAATGGGAATATCTGCCACCTGTTGGACCCCGCCCACCTAAAGGATTTGTGGGGCTGAAAAATGCTGGTGCTACTTGTTACATGAATTCTGTGATTCAGCAACTCTACATGATTCCCTCCATCAGGAACGGTATTCTTGCAATTGAAGGCACAGGTAGTGATGTAGATGATGATATGTCTGGGGATGAGAAGCAGGACAATGAGGTAAATTTTTTTTAGCATTTCTGTTTGAAATTCTGCTACCAGATACTGTCATTCTTTCTTACAGAATGTTGTACTTTCATTGGACTTGTTGATGTATATTTGAAAATAAAGCTAGAGTCTCCCAGCATGGACTGCTATGTCTTGCCATAACCTAGTACTCACTAGCTACCAGACTTTATACTATAGTTAATTTTCATGGTGGTTTATATGTTTTTAAAGCAGCAGTTCACATACTCAATTTTTTTGTGTGAAGTGTTTAATATAATTTGGAGTTTGCATAATGATAAGGATCTTCCATTTTTATAACAGTTTATATTTTCACTTTTCTGATATTTTTAAATGTATCTCCATTAATTTATGCTAAGTTGTATACTATGCCAGTTTCATTATCTCTGTTTACTTTTAGGTTACTTTTACATTTACCCCAGATCATAGCTCTTCTTGCTTAAGCAACAAACTTCTCTCTACTTCAGATATCACGTAGTCTTGTGACAAAGTTTAGGCTCCCTGCCAAGTATCTGCTGCACAATAAAGCTATGGGAGAGTTTGGTTGTAGTGGTGGATCAGATTTGACATAACTATGGCACAGCTCTTTAAAGAAGAGAATATTACAGGACTTAGTTGTGGTCATGTTTATATCCATCCTGTATTTCTTTGTTTTTATTTTATCTTTTCCTGTTCATGTTGTTGGTGAGAACTGCAGGGAGAAGCCAGAATGTGTTCTAATTGTAAATATCTTCAGTGGTTCTTTCCTCCTCCCTCCTCTTCAGTCACTACAGCTATTTGCTCTCAGGTAGTTTAATACTTACAGGGCTTCTGAAACATATACTTGTCCCAGTTCTTTCCCAGATCTACTGAACCGCATCATCCCAGGGGTTAGGGTCCAAGCATTGTTTAATTTTTTTAAAAGCTTCATAGTGGGGATACTTTACACCTATACCCAGTTAAGAAGCACTGCTCTGAGTGGAAATTGAAACTGAAATTCTAGTTCTGTAGCCCATCGCATCTCTGGGATGTTGAGGGTAAGCACAGGGAGAGATAGCTAATTACACTGGCAAGAAGTAAACAAGGCAGACAAAATATGATACAATTTCAAATAAGATGTCCCATGTTTGCTCTCAATGGTACCTTCTGCTCTGTGTTGTCTCAGCATGCCACTGCACTTGTGGGGTTTTTTTTGGTTCTTTGCCTTCTGTCTGTGTTCTTGTTTCCATCCCTGGACAGAGAGTTTCTCATGGACAGGGACTGGATATTCTGTTTCTATATCAAAGGTCCCTGGTACCACAATTCTCTTTCCATCTCTATGAATTTAACTATTCTAGGTACTTCATGTAAGTGGAATCATACCATTTTTGTCTTTTTGTGACTGGCTTATTTCACTTAACATAATGTTCTCAAGGTTTAGCCATTTTATAGCATGTGTCCAGATTTTCTTCCTTTTTAAGGCTGAATAATATTCCACTGTGTGGACAGACCACATTTTGTTTATCCATTCGTTGGTGGACACTGGGTTGCTCCCACCCTTTGGCGATTGTAAATAGTACTCTCATGAACATGGGTGTACAAATCTCTCTTCAAGACCTTTCTTTCACCACTTCTGGGCATATATCCAGAAATGGAATTGCTGGATCGTGTGGTAGTTCTGATTTTAATTTTTTAAGGAACTGGTCCACAGTGGCTGCACCATTTTACATTTCTACCGACAGTGCACAAGGGTTCCAGTTTTCATTTTCATGAGGTCCAGTATGTCTCATTTTTCTTTTGTTAGCTGTTCCTTTGCTGTCCTAGCCAATAAATTACCACCTAATCAAATGTTGTGACATTTTTACCCTATGTTTTCTTTTAAGAATTTCTTAATTTCGGGGCGCCTGGGTGGCTCAGTTGGTTAAGCGACTGCCTTCGGCTCAGGTCATGATCCTGGAGTCCCGGGATCGAGTCCCGCATCAGGCTCCCTGCTCGGCGGGGAGTCTGCTTCTCCCTCTGGCCCTCCCCCCTCTCATGTGCTCTCTCTCTCTCTCTCATTCTGTCTCAAATAAATAAAATCTTAAAAAAAAAAAAAAAAGAATTTAATTTCAGCTCTTGCTTTCAGGTCTGTATTGAGTTAATTTTTGTATATGGTGTTAGAGAGGAATCCAACTTAATTCTTTTGCATAAAGATATCTAGTTTTTCCAGCGTCATTTTTTGAGGAGTACTACTCTTAGTATGCATATTTCATTCACAGTTCTGAGCACCTCATAATCCTCCCCACAGCCACACATCCCCATGAGGAAACCGAAGCTTAGAAACGTGAAGTAGGGACACCTGGGTGTCTCAGTCAGCTCTGAGGTAGTTTAATACTTAATCGATTCTGAAACCTTAAAAAGGTTAAGCATCTGCCTTCAGTTCAGGTCGTGGTCCCAAGGTCCTGGGATTGAGTCCTCCATCGGGCTCCTTGCTCAGCGAGGAGCCTGCTTCTTCCCCTGCTTGTGCCTCATTCTTTCTCTCTCTCTCTCTCAATCAATCAATCTTTTAAAAAAAGAAAGAAAAGAAGCGTGAAGTAGCTGACCTGCTCAGAGTTAGCCAGCTTCTCAGTGGCAGCGCCTACACTCGGGTCCAGTTCGGTCTATGTTAAACACCACACTCTACTCTGCTACGTTGCCTTTATTATCTACCTTTCCAATATACAGTCAGGGTTATTCCTTTATGACAACTCTTCTGTGAGATGGTGGAGATAAACAGTTATATTGTAAATTAAAATTTATAAATTGGAAGTTAAGTGCTTTGGAAATAAGAAATAGAAGGACAAATGATTAATCATTTGTTGACTAACTGGTGCTTGTCTCAACGTACTTTACTGTACTTCAAAGTTGGATTAACATATTAATATTTTTTCTTTTCTAGAGCAATGTTGATCCCAGAGATGATGTATTTGGATATCCTCAACAATTTGAAGATAAACCAGCATTAAGTAAAACAGAAGATAGGAAAGAGTATAATATTGGTGTTCTAAGGCACCTTCAAGTCATCTTTGGTCATTTAGCTGCTTCTCGACTACAATACTATGTGCCCAGAGGATTTTGGAAACAGTTCAGGTAAACTGTAGACAGTAATAGGGATACTGCTTAAACCTTTTCGAACATCTCCGTTACACTAACATCAACTTGTAAAATACATGTTTGAGGGTATCTTTATGTTTAATATTTAAGCAGTAGTACAGTTGACCCTGAAGAACATTTGAATTACGTGGGTCCACTTATACACGGAATTTTTTTTCCCCTGATGAATACAGTAAAGTACTTTAAATGTATTTTTCTTTCCCCTGTGGTTTCTTGATAACATTTCCTTTTCCCCAGCTTACTTTATTGTGAGAATACAGTATATAATACATAAAACATATAAAATATGTGTTAATCGCTTGTTTATGTTATAAGTAAGACTTCCAGTCAACAGTAAGCTCTTAGTAGTTAAGTTTTGGGGAGTCAAAAGTTATAGGCAGGTTTTCTAGCACAGGGGTTAGCTATAATAAACTTTACTTCTTAGTGATTTTCTCTTATTGTCTTCAAAGTCAGGTAGAAAGTGTCATAGTTTGGAGAGGCAGCATACTTCAGTCTCTTAAGATGTTAATAATTTTTTATTTTGAGGGCACCTGGGTGGCTCAGTCAGTTAAGCGTCTGCCTTTAGTTCAGGTCACGATCCCAGAGTCCTGGGATCCAGCCCTGCATTGGGCTCCCTGCTCCGCGGGGAGTCTACTTCTCCCTTTCCTGTTCCCCCTGCCTGTGCTCTCTCACTCTCTGTCAAATAAGTAAATAAAATCTTTTTTAAAAAATCTTATTTTGAAAACCTCTCACATTCAGAAAAGTAGGGAGAACCATGTGAGCCCTTACGTATTCATCCCCTAGCCTCAGCAGTTGTTGACTCATGCTCAATCTTGTTTAAACTACATTCCCATCTACTTTCCACGTTGTTTGAATCAAATCTCACACATTTTCATCTATAAATAATTGCAGTATGTATCTCTGATGGCTTTTTTTAAACATAACCATGATACTCTTACCATATCTTTTAAAAATCCTTAATATCCTTGTCAGTGTTCAGATTTTCTCACAATTGTTTTTTACTATGTGTTTTTTTGAAATCGGGATCTAGATGAAGTCCATACACCTCAAATGTTGCTATGACTCTCTATTCTCATCGTTTTCACCCTTGCAGTTTGTTGGGGAAAAGTAGATAGTTTACCCTGTAAAGTTCTCCACCATCTGGATTTTATTGATAGGATCCCTGTGGTATTTTTGTATTTTCTTTTTTCCTCAGTCCACTGTATTTCCTATAAATAAGGAGTGAGATTTAGAGACTTGATGAGATCAAGGTGTTTTTCTCTCTTTTTTTTTTTGAAATGGTAGGCAAAGCTACGTTATAGACGGTAATGTTTACATCTGTAAGGAGAGGTATGTAATGTCTGTATCCCATGATCACAGCCATTGATAATCATTGACAAGAGTATTTCATCAGGGTTACAGAATGGTAGTAGTCTCATTTTATCATTCTTGTATTTACTAGCAAGAATAGATCTACCTGCAACGACAACTTTGCTATCCTGATGTACAATTTTCTAGGAAAGATGGGATAAATAACTTTTTTTAAAATTAAAATTCTCAGTTATATCTTGATCTTTTTTTTTAATTTTACTTTTTTAAATCATTGCCTATTATGTGTCATGCACTGTACTAAAATACCACAGTACAACCACTTAATTCTTTTTACTGTTTATGAGAAAGGCTCTAATCCTTCATAGCAGTGGGTTTTTAAATAATACTCCTCGGAATCTCTTCAAGGTCTCTCCCAGTCAGCTGAGAGCAGGGGAAGCAGAGGGTCACCTGACACTGCCACCCTGCAGGCTAGCTTCCCTGCTTCTATGGAGCAGCTTCCCTTTTCCCTAGGGATGCTATTTAGATTTCTTTTGAAACCACCACTTTATAATGGCTTTCCTGTGAACTCAACCATTTAAATTCCTTTGATTCCCCTAACTAGGTCCCCTGCTTTAATCCATACTACTGGCTTGCATACACCACCCTCCTTCCCAGCTCTGCTTTTACTCTTTCTGTCCCATCACCTGGCACACCCCTCACCCTCCTCTTTGACTGTTCCAGTTCTTTCTTTCCCCAGTTTGTCCCATCTCTGTCATAAGGCTTTTAGCATTTCTGTTCTTCCTCTTCCCAAATTACTCTCACACTTTTTGTGTTTCTAGCTTAAAATTTGTCATTCAGTTATAAATAGTTTTCTCTCTTACAATACATTTGCATTTTTTATTTCTAAATGACTTCCTATGCTAGTGGAGCTTCCAGTTTATCTAGACTAGCACTTCTGGGTGATTTTCACTTTAGACACATAATATACTCCTAATACATGTGGGTTAGTTAACCACATTCCCTACCCCATGCCCAATTTTTTATTTTGAAAAATTTGAAACCAACAGAAAAGGTGACGAATTAGTATAGTGGTCACCTTTTTATATTACATTCTAAACAGATGTAACAGTTGTTAACATTTTGCCCGGCTTGCTTATATGTATACCATTGGCCCTTGAACAATGTGGGGTTAGGGGCATTGATTCCTCTTACACTTGAAAATCCACATATAACTTTTGATGCCCTTGAAACTGAACAGCCTACTATTCTTGACTGGAAGCCTTAACCAATAACATAAACAGTCAATTAACATTTTGTATGTTATGTGTATTATATGTATAGATTACATGTAAGAATACATTCTTACAATCAGGTAAACTGGAGAAAAGAAAATGTTATAAAAATCATAAGGAAGAGGGGCGCCTGGGTGGCTCAGTTGGTTAAGCGACTGCCTTCGGCTCAGGTCATGATCCTGGAGTCCTGGGATCGAGTCCTGCATCGGGCTCCCTGCTCGGCGGGGAGTCTGCTTCTCCCTCTGACCCTCCCCCTCTCATTCTCTCTCTCTGTCATTCTCGCTCTCAAATAAATAAATAAAATCTTTAAAAAAAAAAATCATAAGGAAGAGAAAATACACTTACGGTATACTGTACTGTATGGTGGAAAAATCCATGTATAAGTAGATTCATAGTTCAAACCTGTGTTGTTCAAGTGTCAACTGTGCTTGGGTTTTGATTCTTCTAAACCAGTTGATAGTTGTAAACATGATACTTTACCCCCACACACCTACATGTGCTTCAATATGTATCCACTAAGAATAAAGACATTTTCCTACTTACATATAATACCATTATCACACGCGATGAAATTTAATGTTGATTTAAAATGCCTAAAAGGGGCGCCTGGGTGGCTCAGTCGTTGAGTGTCTGCCTTCGGCTCAGGTCGTGATCCCAGGGTCCTGGGATCGAGCCCCGCGTCGGGCTCCCTGCTCGGCGGGGAGCCTGCTTCTCCCTCTGCCACTCCCCCTGCTTGTGTTCCCTCTCTCGCTGTGACTCTCTCTGTCAAATAAAATCTTTTAAAAAAATAAATTAATAAATAAATAAAATGCCTAATAATGGGGGTGCCTGGCTCAGTCAGTAGAGCATGCGACTCTTGATTTCAGGGTCGTGAATTTGAGCCCCCACGTTGGGTGTAGAGATTACTTAAAAAAGAAAAGGAATGGAAAATAAATTGTCTACCTTTAAATATTTTTTAAAAATAATAATGCCTAATACTCATCAGTGTATATTCTGATTTCCCCCAAAATATTCTTTGTAACTTTTTTTTTTAGTCTCAGACTGGTATCCTGAAAGGAATCAAAAGAGTTTGGTTGTTACCTCTTTAGTTTTCTTTAAAATAATCTCCCTAACTTGTCATGACTTGTATGGCACTGAAATTTTTTAAGAGCCTACATTGGTTATCTCACAGAACGTCTCTCATTTTGATTTGTGTGGTTATTTCCTCATGATTAGATTCAGGTTAAATGTTTTTGGCAAGAAAACCACAGTAGGTGGTGTTAACGTGCTTCTCATTGCATTGCATTGGGAGATACATGGTACCAGTTTGTCTGATTATTGGTAATATTAACTTGTGTCTTAACAGATCTGTTCATCTTTTCCCTTTTGTAATTAATGGTTGACTACATGTTTGAAAGTACGGGGAATCGACCATAATCTGAAAATTAATAGAATGGATTGGTGTCAGTTCCAATAATGAAACAAGTTTGTTTTAACAAATAAGGACATGTTTTATTTTAAACTCACTGTATCAAATTTAAGTTTAAAATATAATTGGGGGGCACCTGGATGGCTCAGTCGGTTAAGCGTCTGACTCTTAGGATCTCAGCTCGGGTCTTGATCTCGGTTGTGAGTTCAAGCCCCACGTTGGTGTCCATGGATCCTACTTTAAAAAAAAAAAAATAAAACAGGGCGCCTGGGTGGCTCAGTTGGTAAAGCGACTGCCTTCGGCTCGGGTCATGATCTGGAGTCCCAGGATCGAGTCCCGCATCGGGCTCCCTGCTCAGCAGGGAGTCTGCTTCTCCCTCTGACCCTCCCCCCTCTCATGTGCTTTCTCCCTCTCAAATAAAAAAATAAAATCTTTAAAAAAAAAAAACAAATTAAAAAATATAATACGTAATTAGAATGAGATTATTTGCTACATAGAAAAAGTGTTACAAAAAATTGATCAGAAGACATTTCCTCTAGCATATTTATTTTTTTTTATTCTTACGTTAATCCCCATACATTACATCATTAGTTTTAGATGAAGTGTTCCATGATTCATTGTTTGTGCATAACACCCAGTGCTCCATGCAGAATGTGCCCTCCTCAATACCCACCACCAGGCTAACCCATCCTCCCACCCCCCACCCCTCTAGAACCCTCAGTTTGTTTTTCAGAGTCCATTGTCTCTCATGGTTCATCTACCCCTCCGATTTCCTCTAGCATATTTAAAATACGTGTGTCCTATCTCTCACTTAGAATGCATTCATACTTCTTTATGTCACTCTGTAAATACAAAATTAGATTTCATTGATAGTTTCCAGCAGTGCCTAGGATTTTAGCAGTTCTCATTTTTTTGGTACACACAATTGATAGTTTATTTTCTCAGAATTGATTTGTCTAACTTAAATCCTCAGATTACTCCAAAGAGATGAACTCTAACGTTAAAGCTTTCTCTTTTCACTTGGAAAAAGCAATTTAATTAAGAGTAAATAAATCTTGGCACTGTATCTATAACCTGAAATTTAAGCAACATGAACCAAAGAGTGACTGTAACATCTACATAAGAGTGAGATCCAGCTCCACCAAGTCGTGTCTTCATCTAGATTGAAAATGCATGTGTAGCAGGTTACCTAAAGCAAGCGCCGGTGCTGGAGCTGTGGTCTCCATCAGCCACAGCAGCAGTTTCGCGGTGACTCTTCCCCACGGGAGCTCCACTTGTACCATGAGCCTCACTTTCTCACTGCACTCTATACATAAAGAACGTTTACTCTTTTCTACTTCCTCATGTAGTTGAGGGGGGAAAAAGTCTGTTTCTATATTGTCATTTGTGGTTGTATTGCTTTTTTCCTGAGAAAGTACTGTATTTTATTCCATTCATTTCTTAGGCTTTGGGGTGAGCCCGTTAATCTGCGTGAACAGCATGATGCTTTAGAGTTTTTTAATTCATTGGTGGATAGTTTAGATGAAGCTTTGAAAGCCTTGGGACATCCAGCTATGCTAAGTAAAGTCTTAGGAGGTTCCTTTGCTGATCAGAAGATTTGCCAGGGCTGCCCACATAGGTAAGTGCTAATTATATGGTTAAAGTTCTTCTGTTTATTTACTAAGAAAAATAAAATATTTATTAGTAGTTATGTACAAAAGTGGAGTATGCCACCAATTTAACTATATACCTGAGACTGGGTGAATTATATACTGTGCATACCTTACTGTTGTGGGTTTGGGTTTTGTGTGTGGTGGTGGTGGTTTTCATGGAGGTTTTTGTTTTTCTGGTTTTGGGGGCTTTGGTTTCATCAAATAACTTTTGGCTCCTTCTCTTTCTTTTATGTATGATCATTACTGGGGAAATCAAATGGCATTTTGCATATATAGCTTACAGGTGTTGCTCATAAATTTGCCCTTTATCTCAGAGTTAAAGCAATTAAAATATTACAAATACATTAAGCTTAGAAGATGACAGACGTGGAGTACAATTTCCTTATATAAATGAAATACTAATTTTTAAAATAGCATTGATTGTGATCATTATCCTTAAAGTATCTTTTCAACAAAAAACATAGCAAGAGTTGACTGAACAAATTGTTTTTGACTTGAAATTGATTAAGGACTCTTACTGAAAATAGTTAAACGACTATTAAAATTCACTACTAGTAGATACAGGTTTATGCCTATTACGTGGAAGTTTTACTTTGGAATTTCTCTTGCATGTTACTGATTACTGTTGGTTTGAAATCAAATTTTCGCCAAAATATCACAGTACGATAGTATTTTCTACAAGCTCAAACGGTATTATATAGTCATGAGGTGTGTGTGTATATGGCTGGTGGGAGTGTTTCATTTTTGATCAAAGGGAAATGATTGGCAGAGAGGTAATGCTATATAAATGAGAAATTACCATGAGGTTAAACCATTCATTCAGAACAAGACTATGTAATTATTCACATAGCCCGCACAAGTTTTGGTCATTTTGAAAGACCTTTTGTATTAGGTGGACAATTAAACTGTCATTTTTAACCTCTTGATTTTCAATTACTGATAAAATAAGCCAACTTTTTGGTCATTTATTCTAATCAGTCCTTGTTGGTTGGTTTTAGACCGTTTTCAAAGTCATTTGGAAATGACTGGTTTTCTTCGCTAAGTGAAAATGTCCAGAGAGCATGATCATAATTAAGAACCCAGAAGTCCTGTTCTTATTACATGCCAGAAGTTACATAGAGAGTCCCACGTCTATCTGTTTTACAGCATTATTTGTCTAGACCAGGAGTTAGCAAACTATGCACCATTGGTCAAATCCAGCCACGCATCTGTTTTTATAAAAAAGAGGTAGCTCTTTACCTACTCTCTAGCTCCTTTCCCTATAACAGCTGAGTCAGAGAGACCTCATACCCTCAAAAAGAGCTTATAATAGGTACTCTCTGGCCTTTTACAGAAAAAATTTTGCTGGTTTTCTCTCATCTTTGAATGTCCTACTTTTTAAGTGAAGTCGTAAGTTCTGACTTCTTTTTTTCTCTTTTATGGGTTGTTCCCTGATCATAGTAGCAATATGCTTTATACGTACTTCATATTCCATTCATGCCACTTACAAATACCTTTGTGTACCTTTTTTCCCGGACCTAAACTGAAAAGCCCCAAAGATGAGGGACTTACCTTCAACATTGACTATCCCGGAGTACTTTTACACATGGAAGGCACTCCAAATATATTTGTTGAATGAGTAAATTTGATGGTTGAGAGTGTATTCTCCTACATCCCATGTTCTGAGTTTATGAATGTGTCTCCTCAGAAATCTGAAATTTCCCTTGGTAGAAAATTGCCACAAGGTGGGATTCTGGCTCCTACTCGGATTGCTTATCTCCTCTTGATTGGTGTGTTCAAACTTGTGCTTTATTAAGGTTTCCATTAAAAGAGGGACCATTTAAAAATTCAGCCCGTTAATAGTTTAAAATATCCTTTTCAGAAGTTGATGAATTCATGCTTTGGCCTTGGCATGAATTACTGCCTAACTAGATGACAGTGGAAGCAGCACGGTAGACTGTAAAGAGCTTAAGCCGTGAAGCAAGACAGACCTGGCTTCAAAACACGATTTCGCCTAGTAATCTTGACCAAATTAACCTTTCCAAACCCCAGTTCCCTCATCTCTGAAGTGGAGGTGGTGCTATTTCTCTATCAGGTTTGTCATGAAGACAAAGAACCTGGTGTATATATGGGCTGTAAACAACCTAATGTAGTGCCCAACACTAGGTAAGTGGCCAAATAAATGTGTCATTTATTGGTAACATTCTTTGATTTAGGGTTTCATGTCATAAATATTGCAAATGTAGTTTTCATCAAGTTTATAACTAAAAATGTTTAGAGAACTAAGAAATCCTTTTTATTTCTTAATGTCTTTAGATATGAGTGTGAAGAATCTTTTACGACTTTGAATGTAGACATTAGAAATCACCAAAATCTTCTTGATTCTTTGGAACAGTACGTCAAAGGAGATTTATTAGAAGGTGCAAATGCGTATCATTGTGAAAAATGCAATAAAAAGGTATGAATTATCCAGGTTTTTTTTAAGTAACTATGGTTTAATGGATTTGAAAGTTCATTGCTTTTGTTTTTTATTTATTTATTTATTTTTATTCCCTACCCTGCTTTGTTATAGTGGTAGCAGAAGGTAGTTAAGATAACTGGTACAAAGGTTTTTCAGGGAAAGAAGATTAAGAGAAGGTAGTACCAGCAGGGCTAGGGGAACAGGTAAATAAGAGTGAACATCTTAGAAGTCATAATAGCTTATTATCACCTACTCTTGCCGGAGGCGCACAGACACTTGCCATCCGTACCCACCCAGACTGCTGTTGAACCCCTCACAGCTATAGCACTGACAGGAAAACATTTCTCCTGTCCTATCCAGTTACTTGTAAGGACCAAGAAGTTTACTGAAACCTTCATTACTTGGTTTGGTCACATAAGATTTCTTCTACCACCTGTGTTTTTAAACCACTGGGATTAGATTTTTAGGCCCACTTGATAGTTTTATCTCAGGGCACTTAACGGCTCTTAGGGAGAGACCGTTTACACAGACGGTAAATAACGTGTATCTTCCTGGGCTCCCAGATTCTCTCACCTCCGAGTCACCTGTATCGTTTTGACATTTACATGCCACTTAAAGAGGTATTAAAGTCTAGAGGTTGAGATGCGAGCTGTAAGGCCGGTGAGACCGAGGCCGGTGACTCAGTCCCTCTCCTGCTGCTCCCCATTCGCACCAGGAGCTCCTGCGTGGGAGCTTGTGAGGATTGCATGTGTTACTCCTTGGGCAGCACTTGGCATATTACTTGGCACCTAATGGCCCAATAGATACTAGCTGCTACTGTATTTCTTCAGCACGCCTTCATTAGCATAACAGTAAATACCAAACAAGTAACAGTGGTTAGATAGCAATGACGGTATAGAATCCAGGCAATGAGTAATGTCTGTGTCACTAATTTTTGCAATTTGTAGCAAATGGCATAAACTATTTCCATATTATTAGTTGTAGTTAGCATTTTTTGAAATGCCCACCTGGACATAATAACCTTGATTATATTCATTGCCGAGTGTTTGTTTACACTTGTAACCTCCAGTTAGTCTTCATGAGAATTTAGTAATAGAGGCTTATAGTTTGTTTTATGCAGTGTATTATAAAAGAACATCTAGTAACTTGCTCTGTTTATTGTAGGTTGATACCGTAAAGCGCTTGCTAATTAAAAAATTACCTCCCGTTCTTGCTATCCAACTGAAACGATTCGACTATGACTGGGAAAGAGAATGTGCAATCAAATTCAATGATTATTTTGAATTTCCTCGAGAGCTGGACATGGAACCTTACACAGTCGCAGGTGTTGCAAAGCTGGAAGGAGATAATGTAAACCCAGAAAGTCAGTTGATACAGCAGAATGAGCAGTCTGAAAGTGAGACGGCAGAAAGCACGAAATACAGACTTGTGGGTGTGCTGGTACACAGTGGCCAAGCAAGTGGGGGGCATTATTATTCTTACATCATTCAGAGGAATGGTGGAGATGGTGAGAGAAATCGCTGGTATAAATTTGATGATGGAGATGTAACAGAGTGTAAAATGGATGACGATGAAGAAATGAAAAACCAGTGTTTTGGCGGAGAGTACATGGGAGAGGTATTTGATCACATGATGAAGCGCATGTCATACAGGCGCCAGAAAAGGTGGTGGAATGCTTACATACTTTTTTACGAACGACTGGATACCATAGACCAGGGTGATGAGTTGATAAGATACATTTCTGAGCTTGCTATCACCACAAGACCCCATCAGATTATTATGCCATCAGCCATTGAGAGAAGTGTACGGAAGCAGAATGTGCAATTCATGCATAACCGAATGCAGTACAGTCTGGAGTATTTCCAGTTCATGAAAAAACTGCTTACATGTAACGGTGTTTACTTAAATCCTCCGCCAGGTAAGTATCAAGAATTTAGCTTCTTAGTAGAAGCATAACTCTTACTGTACTTGCAAGATTTCTTAGCAAGCATCAACATGTTTGCATTTTTACTTTGGGCTGTTTTAAAGCCATATTTCCGTTATCTTTGAGCAGTGTATATTGTCTTGCTGTTTGGAAACAGGGGAGCTTTTGTTTATTCTAACAGTTTGTTTTTGACTCAAGCATTAGTTTGAAACATGCTTTACTGAACTAAGAATTATTTCATAAGTAGCCGGGCGGGGGGCAGTTAGCAAAGTTAGGACTTCTAGAAATCAGTGGAAATGCAGACTTGTTTGAAAATGGAGCTTAGACATAGAAATTTGTTTTGTTTTGTTTTGTTTTTTAATGTATTTGCCTTTTTTATAGGGCAAGATCACCTGTTGCCTGAAGCAGAAGAAATCACTATGATTAGTATTCAGCTTGCTGCTAGGTTCCTTTTTACCACAGGATTTCACACCAAGAAAATCGTCCGTGGCTCTGCCAGTGATTGGTACATTGCTTTGGATTTTCATTCCTATTATCCTAGCATTTAGTTTGGTTCTTTAATATATTGCTCTATTTTTTTTTTTTTTTTCAAATCCAAGTCTTCTTTCAGATCTGGAATGCAGACTACAAAAACTCTTGATAGCCGTAGTGAGAGAAATCATATTAAAATAATTACATAGGTTAAACATGACCTTTCATTGTTCTGAAGCTGGCTTCTGTTACCTTATATCCTATCTTTGACATCCCTGTACAAAAGATTATAGGATGATACTTAAAAGTCTGAGCTACTTAATTCAGAAATTAGTAGTTTTAGCTTCCCTAGATTAAATTTTGCCATAAATTAAAAACATAACAAATAGAATGAGTGTCCTAAGTTTCAAGTTGTGAAAGTATAGAGGCCATTTATAATACCTTGATTGAACAATTTTTATGTACTCATCCAGTGGTAAGATGTTCAGGGACAGTTAGGGTAGTGATTGTTTTGTCATTGAATCTAGAAAGAGTTTGGTAATGGATTTGTAGAGGACTAGACAAGCTTTCATCTCTCTATGTTGTCACTCTGTGAGAAGAAACCAAGTTGTAGTAGTCATCTGTCCTTTTAATGTTGGTACTAGAGGCAACTGTTGCTGGTTCTCTCCCTCCAATAGTAAAAGAAGGTCTTTGATTTTTATTTGGTTCATAGAGACCCATATCTGTACTATATACGAAACATCATTGAATTGCCATTCATAAATTTTTTGTTTTGTCTTAGGTATGATGCATTGTGTATTCTCCTTCGTCACAGCAAGAATGTCCGTTTTTGGTTTGCTCACAATGTCCTTTTTAATGTTTCAAATCGCTTTTCTGAATACCTTCTGGAGTGCCCCAGTGCAGAAGTAAGGGGTGCATTTGCAAAACTTATAGTTTTTATTGCACATTTTTCCTTGCAAGATGGGCCATGTCCTTCACCTTTTGCATCTCCCGGACCTTCTAGTCAGGTAATTGCCTGGTTTTCTTTTTAGTGATTAAATGCTTACAGATCTCTTGCCTGAAAGTTGAAGTCACAAATATATGTACATCTGTTTTATACGTTTACCTTGTGAGCAGATGTGTGCACACACACACACCACACCATCTGATATCTGGGAGTTCAGTAAAAGTACTTCACAGCAGTGAATAACAATTATTAGCTCTTTAAAAACAACAGAATTTTCTTTGTTCGTTCAGTTAGAAGCAGTGGCTTAATTTTACATATGGTTATGTATATTATTTGTAAAGTTTTTTTTAATGGACTTCCATTTATTAAAAATTAAAACATGAAGGCTCTAGATGAAATCTACCTCAGATCTTCATTCCCTTTCCTAAAAAGCAACCCTTTTTAATTGTTGTGTGATTAGTCCTTCCAAAAATTTCTGCCTATATTCAACATGGGGGGGGGGGTGTGTGTGTCTGTGTCCCCTTTTTATGCAAATAGAATTGTTCCTATATCTTGTCACTGGAAAATAGCCAATGTTTTATCCTTTACAGGCTTATGACAACTTAAGCCTAAGCGATCACCTACTACGGGCAGTTCTCAATCTCTTGAGAAGGGAAGTTTCAGAGCATGGGCGTCATTTGCAGCAGTATTTCAATCTGTTCGTAATGTATGCCAATTTAGGTAAGAATTTAAATTGTTATAATTCTGTTTTAATGTATTCTATTAAGTGACAGAGTCTTTTAAGTTGAGTGATGAAACATTTTTTACTGTACTTTTCACCTTGTACTTTATAGTTAATTATGCATATCTCTGTAGTATATACAGGCCAGAATCATCTTTTTTTTTTAGAGGGAGAGAGTAAGTAGGGGAAAGGACAGAGGGGGAGAGACCCATGAGATCACAACCTGAGCCAAAATCAAGAATTGGTTGCTTAACTGACTGAGCCACTCTTGCCACCCGGTCACCCCCAGAATCTGTGTCTTAATCATGTTTTTATCTCCTAAAACGGTGGTGCCAGATCTGTCTGGATTTGAAAATACTGATTCCTAGGCCCCATCTCACACCAACTGAATCAGAATTCTCAGAGCTAGCACAAGGAATCCACATTTTCAAAAAGTCCCTGGATGGTTGTGATACTCACCCAAGTTGGGGTAAAGGACTTGGTCTGAACATAAATTTTTATTGAAGTAAACTAAATTGAAATTACAGATAGTATAAATATTCATTTACCCTCTTATTTATGTTATTACCTCTGTTTAACATTTTCCTTCTCAAAGTAACCTTTCTAACATCACCTGATCAGTGATCCCAGAATACTTAAAAGTTTGTTATGCTGTCTTCTACTTATTCTGTTGTTTTTTATTGCGTTCACATTTTTGTGTTGCTTCCCAACGAGATTGCAGAGATCAGGGTTTTTTGCACAGTGACACTCAGTTAATGTTTGTTAAATGAAAAGATGGACAGTTAGGAATATTATCAAAAATCCTTCCATTGTCATTTGCTGTTTGTTCATTGGCTTTGGGGTGGTAAATTTCCTATGATTATAATTATTAAAGTTTCTTTTTTCTTTTTATTTAAGTAATCTCTGTGCCCAATGTGGGACTCCAACTCATAACCCTGAGATCAAGGGTCGCAGGCTCTTCCAACTGAGCCAACCAGGCACCCCTAAAATTATAAAAATTTCTTACCAATCAGGTATTAATGCACCGTTCCCAAAATGATTAATTTATTGAGACATTCCATTTAAAATCTTAGTGATCCTTAGTGATGATAATGAATATTTGGCCAAATTTGAATAACTTCTTTAAAAGTTTAAAAGAGGGGCACCTGGGTGGCTCAATCTGACTTCGGCCAGGTCATGATCTCGAGGTCCTGGGATTGAGCCCCCGCGCATTGGGCTCTACACTCAGCGAGAGTCTGCTCATCTCTCTCCCTCTGCCCTTCCCCCTGCTTGTGCTCGCTTTCTCTCAAATAAATAAAAAATCTTAAAAAAAAAAAAAGTTTGGGGCGCCTGGGTGGCTCAGTTGGTTAAGCGTCTGCCTTCGGCTCAGGTCATGATCCCAGGGTCCTGGGATTGAGTCCTACATCAGGCTCCTGACTCAGCAGGGAGCCTGCTTCTCCCTCTGCCTCTCTCTCTCTCTCTCTCTCTGACAAATAAATAATCTTAAAAAAAAAAAGTTTAAAAGAAAAAAAATACCTTCTATCCAAAAATTAAGTTTTGTAATCAAACATCCGTCATTCCGTGTGTTTTGTGTGTGACCTTACTAATCACCAGTTTACCTCGGGGGCCCTTTTAACATAAGCAACATTCTACTTCTCTGTAGTTTGTCTTTTCCTTTACCTTTTCATACTAGAGATGCTTGGTTATTTGTAGTTGAAAAGGGAGAGAATATTCATTGCACAAACAAGTGGAATCTGTATTTCAAAGTTAGAAATAACCAAATTTAGGCATTCACAAAAATCCTATTCTATTCACCTCCCTTTTTAGATATTGCCCGTTCACAAAGCATACATCATTGGCATGTAATGTAATTTAATTAAGATTTCCCTGCTAAAAGCAAATACATATCCATAAATTTTATTTATTGTTTTTAAAGATTTATTTGAGAGAGAGAACACGAGCCAGGGGGAAGGGGCAGAGGGCGAGAGAGAGAAGCAGACTCCCCGCTGAGCGGGAAGGCAGACGCTTAACCAACTGAGCCACCCAGGCACCCCAGATCCATAAACTTTAATATACCACTTATGCTTTGGGGTTCAGAATTGTTTAGATTTAAGAAAGGTAAGGCAGTGTATATACCGTGTATTATGTGACATCCCTATAGCAGGGTCCAAGACAGCACCTTATAATCATATACATTAATATTTCTACAGTAAAGCATGAGTAGTCACCCTGAGAGGGGATAAATGAAGACTGTGAATAGCCTCTTCTCAGTTCAGGCCAGCTTTTCCTACCAAACGTGTTTTGACACCAACTTTATGAAATAATTTTGTTTATATTTATGATAAATAAAAAAAATAAATTAAAAAATATATTTATGATAAGAGCTTTTTGAATCTCGGGATTTCAGATAAGGGATTGTGGGCCTGTATTTATTATACTTCTTGGAATGTGACAATAAAAAGGACAGTCTATTGTCTAATGGGGTATAGAAGCAAATAAAAAGATAACTGCCATAAAGTATGTTAATGGCTGTAATAGGGAAAAATACAAAGTGCTGTGGTAGTATATAATAGGGATACCAGACCAGATTTGGGGAGTACAGGGGACTTAATGGGCAAGTTGATGTGGGAATTGGTTGTTTGGGGTTTCTATCCAGAGTGAACAGCAGATGTAAAGACTTGGAATAAACTCAGTGTGTGGAGGAAGTGAAAGTTATTCACACTAGAAATGATCTCTGATCATGCTATTCTGGCAAGCCTCATGAGGGATTCTAGACTTTATCCTAAGGGCATTGATGAGCCATTGTAGAGTTTTTAATAGACATACCTTCTAGAAAGATCACTCGGACTACAGTGTGGAATGGATTGCAGGGGAATAACACTAGAGATTGTTAAAATGATTTATAGCAGGAGATCATTGTGGCCAGTACTGGGGAACTGGCAGTGAGGAGGAGATAGAAGTGGACAGATTCTGATGCTTTCTATTAGCGGTAAAGTCTGTAGGATTTAGTGATTGGGTATTAAGGAGGGGGGAACACAGAAGAGATGTTAAGTGATGCCCCGGGTTCCAACTGAGTAGATAGCGGTGCCATATACTGAGAGGGGAGAACACAGGAGGAAGAACATGGATAGGGGAGTAAAGTGATGAGTTAAGTTTGGGCAAATTGAGTTTGAGCCTGTTGGACACCCAAATAGTGATGTTCAGTGTTCGGTAGAACATTTAAGATACTGGAAATACTTTGGTATCATCTGAACGAAAATAGCTGGAACTTGAAGCCATTAGAGTGGGTTTGATCATCCAGGAAAAGCATACAGTGTGAGACAGTAGCCTGGTGTGGGAACTTTGAGGAGCAACCATTTTTCAAAGAGGAAGGAAAACTCAGAAATGAGACCAAGGAGAAGAGGTTGAAAGAAAGGAAGAGAGGAATCCAAGAAGGAAAGTAAGCAGTTACGGTTTAGAACTATTCCTTAGCTTTACCCCAGGAAAGGGAGCAGAAACCAAACTGGCATGGGTTGAGGAGTAGGAAAATAAGAAAACAGAGATGACACCAAGTTTAGGCATGATTTTCAAGTAGCTTAGCTGTTGGAGAAAATAGAGAGGCAGTGTATAAAATTCTTATTTCTCACTGAGTTTTCATCATCCTCCCTTACCATGAGGATTGAAGTCCAGGCTAGTCCCCCAGACTCTCAGGCCATAGAAAGTATTCATTTTCTTTATGCCTGGTTTGACTGGAATGTCATGATCTTTGTTTGACCATTTTAAAACTTAAATCCAGTTATACCATGGAGATTTTCTGTTCTGGTTAAATCATTCTCTGAATGCTAATAAGTAAGAGTGGTTTTCTTTTTTCTTTTTTCTTTTTTTTTTTTAAGATTTTATTTATTTATTTGAGAGAGAGAATGAGATAGAGCATGAGACGGGGGAGGGTCAGAGGGAGAAGCAGGCTCCCT